ATAGGTGGGTATCAGGCCAGTATTGCGTTCCATCTCTCCAACGAAGGTCGATTGAATTCAATATGTATGGCTTTAGTTTTTTTGGAACCTTCACGAAAATAATCTGCTTTCAAAATGTTGAAGTAAAGCAATGCACCTCCGTTAAATTGCTTCAACGCTTGCTTTTGCCTGTATCACCCGTTGGCGATTTCACCCTCTGTAGTTGTTGCTAGAAGACAAAAACTAAAAATCAGGAAATCACGAAATTGCGAACTTCTTTGGCCTTTTGTAAGCGCAGCTGATTGCTCACTGGCTGACGCGATGGTAAATGGTTTCCTTGCCTTCGCAAGACACTGGTTATGCCTAAACCATCCACCACTTATCGTAGACTTTTACTGCATTCTCAACGTAAATGTCACAAACCTTAGCTTTGCTTGTGTGCTTTTCTTGGGTGGTAGATTGAATAGTGCAATGGAGATTATTCACTTATTGGTGATTAAACGAGCGCGATTCGGATCATCTCGACATATGACAATTTGAGGGATTTCAAGACTATGCAGAAGTTAAAATAGAACCAGCAGTCATGGATGAAAGCGATAATCTTACAGTGGTGATGATTGCAACTGCTGCCATCTAGTAAAAGCCCCTTTTTTTGTTTAATACCTCTTGTTATAAAATCTCATGACGTTCTTTCAATTTCTTATAATTTATCTATCGCACTTTGCTCTATCGGATTGTGTTTATTTGTTCGAACCACCGTATTTACCCTTCAATCTGAATGTAGTATGTAAACCCTTCTTTAAAGTGGGTGTTTCACTTGTGGGTTCAGAATTCATGACAAGGCCTTCCTTTTAAGACGAATTCATTGCACTGACTGGTCGATTTTGACCTAAGTAATTGTTGCAGCTCTGTAAATCGGCGCCACTTTAGTGATTGTCTTAACTTTGATGGGGTTATACCAGTTACAACTTTGAATGTACTGTAGCCTTTGGAATCCTCTGGCCTGGCTGGAATGGCATGCCGTTTGATGAAACTACGGCCTCCGAAGCCGTAGTCTTGCGATTGTCATTTTGTCAGCTCCACCTGAATCAGCCTTTAGCTGGTTGTTCGCATCCATTTGCGAGTTGGAATCGGAGATACAGATAAGTACCTATAATTGAGGACGACAATGACCACTGACAGGGTGTCACATTGCTTTCGTGGTAAACTGTGTTTCATTTAAGACAACCATGTGTTTCGTGTCTTTTACTTTTACTGATAACATTTAACCATAGTCAACATTCCCTCACCATATAATCAAACTTTTCTACGAAAGTCTCTCTAACGTTGCACATTTTTAACAGGCACCTCTCTTCCCTTGTGCATCACTTCGAGTTCTCCCTTCGTCACCAACATTCTAATTTCCCGGCTCCTTTCTAAGGACTACGATGTTTCTCTGAAGCATGATCAAAGATACAACTAAACAGCATACTAAATTACTGCGCACTATCTGAAGAGCGGCTTGAAGGACTTTTCTCCCTCGTCTGTGTTTAATGCATGAACTGCCTTGTCTATTGCACCGCCGATGTGATGAGTAGTCTTTATGACTCCCAGAAGCGTTTTGCAAACTGACATCTAAAAATTTTATTGAGAGATGAGTGTGCATAGCTTATGTTCCATTTGTAAAATTGAAAACATTAGTAGTACATTGCGCCGATGGTCTCTGACATAGACGGAAAACCTTTTTTCCAAGCTTCTTCTCATTCGACACCTCGTAGAACTTCGGGTTACTAAATATACGTAACTGATTTGTCATCCTGCCCTCTTTGATGTCTGCCTTCTGATCGATCATTCAGATGTGCGCATGTCTTTTACAATGCCAATGTGTTTGTGTAAGCTCTCTGACCTTTACTACTGATGCAATCCCAAGCCTCGCAAATGTGGCGAAGGGGTCGACTTTGACGTTGGCACCAGACCTCTTTCCCCCCGCCCTATTATCTGATGGCCATTAGCTGTATTATTGGCAACGCAGCAGTGGTCTGAATTGGCTTTATAGTAGGCGTTGGGTTTTTCACATGAAAATCACCTATCGTGTTGTCGAGTTGGCGTCAATAATCATGTGTTCTATCTATTCAGGCGCATGGCTTCGACTGCCTTTTTTCGGTCACTTTTGACGCCCCTATTTTCTTCCCTTTAAGTGTTCTCATATGAGACGAGTCGTTTTTCAAGTTTTTCTTTTTTTCGGATCGCGGCTAATGCACCGGATCTATTTGCTTTTGACCTACACACTCAAATTTTAATATGCCTGAAAGCGCCGCAATATGGTGGCGGATGGTTTAAAACCTCTACTACAGGCTGATAACATTGTAATGATTTATAATCTGCCATTCTACGATAGGATTAACAACAAGGCCTTGCGCTTATGTGAACAATCTGCAATGAAATTGGAAGTATTAGGATTGCGTTAGCATAACAGGGAGCAAAGGTGATGAAAGTGGAAATAATACGTCGTCTGTCGGTTGTAGCGCTAAAGTTGTTTAAGTTATTTCTGTTTCTTCTCCATTGCCGACTCTTAGATATGGCAAGTAGGTAGTCTCGTGCGGGGAGCTGATTTTGGTGCGGGAATTCAGTTCTAAGAGGCTCAAACTGACAACTGTGAATGATAATGCAATGAAGTGAAAGACTTGGTTTTTATCGCATCGCTTATCATTTCAAGTACGTCTGTGGACTTTGTTCCCTCTGTTAGAAACATTGCCCTTTTTTGTTGCGTAATTTTATCTAACTAACGATTTTACGTCTTGTTTACTCTGAAACTGAATTGATTGAACTATGCTAAGTCTTTCCTGTTGAAGCTTTGGGGCAGGATGACTGAAATTCCACACCACCGAGTCAACTTAGTGACGCTTACTTTCACAGGAAAAGCTTCGGCCAACATAGTTTTGTAAAGCATCAACCATAGTACCCTGAAAGTTTTGCAATCCCAATTTTATGCAGCTTTAAACGGTAGTTATTTGTGAACTGTACACTTTGGTTTCAAAAACTTCGGCTTTGCACTTGTTTGACGGTGATGGTAAGCATTGCTGAAGTTGGTATTGTTTTATTGCATGACAATTTCATGTCTTTTATCCTCTGATTGTAGGGTGGCCTTATATTCATTTGTGGCTCCATCGACGGAGTCCTGGCCGTTGCTAGCCGACGCCACAATGCCAACGACATAATCGCAACAGTCATCGCGGTACAGCCCACGAAGATTGTCTACCGTGGTCGGTAAGATGGAGTTTGTTGGTCTATTTATGTATGCATTTATGTGTTCGTGTGTGCATAAGTTTACTCCCGCCTTCCCACCCTTTCTTTTATTTACCTTAAACGCTGTTGACATGTGGGAGATTTGGCACTGTTGTTTTAATTTTTCGGTCTGATTTGGCTAAGTTAGGACACTACATTCTTATGTATGACTTGTAAAGCCTTACTAGGTTGCAGTCATTTATCACCTTCTTCCCGCTTCTCATCAGCTAGCCATGCATGCATGCATGCCGGTTGACTCATTAGTTGTCTGTTAAAACATATATCGGTTACATTTTTTCTAGGCTACAGCTGTTGGGCTGATGGCCTATCTTAACGTGTACTTATTTTATTGGCCAATCTATTCACCACAACATGTCGGTGTCGTCAGTGTTCACCATAAAAGGACAAATGCGACGCCTGTGTGGAGCTGGCTGTTGGTGTATTGGCATGGAATTCATATCGCCATGCCATGGATGAATTTAACCCCTTTTTGTGTGTGTTTAACCAGTTGGTAAGCAGAAGTTGTCTCAATCGCATTGCAAAGCGGCTTTTAGTATGGGCGGCCTGAGGTCAGGTTTGTACCATTGCCGTCCACATGTCTGCAGGGCAAATATTTCTTCACTAATTAGTGAATTCTATCCTTGCACTATGGACTAGAGGTCCAGTTGAAGTCAATTAACATTTTTCTATTATTTTCACCCGCAGAATTGCCGTCTTTTCGATTGAGATGTTGAAGGATGAGAGAATTGTGGTGGTTGCCGAACTGCGTCACGGCTTCTCCGAAGAGGCCGCCTTCTCATGGATGTCGCAGGTCTTGCAGGCCGTCGACAGTATTCACCAAGTCAGCGTCTACGCTCTCGCTCTTGTTCCACAGAATCAGCTTCCTCGGGTGCGTCTTATCATTTATGCTTGCTATTTCTAGACAAAAATCTTGTAGTGCGAACGGGAATCGTGCAGTGTCGGATTGGATTCTGGCAAGGCGGGGCATATCTCGGGTCATTAAAATGCATAAATAGCTTAATAAGTTCTTTTGCCATTTAGCCATTCTATAATTTATAGGTTTCGTTGCATTGGTGTGCTATTGGAAGAAAATGCTCCCTAATCGAATGGTTTGCGCTCCATTTGGTGTAGTTCGTTGAAATTGACTGTTGTAATCTGCATTAATGACTTTGAGAGGTAGATTGTCATCTGGAGTCTACTTTTTTTACAAGACAGCGTGCACTTTCATACCCCGACGGAGATCACTTGTGGTGCTGTTGAATGCCTAATATTCACTTTGTTGATTTGGCAGTCATGTTATTGAAGGATGAAATAGTAGTTGAAACAAGAATAGGAAGGCGTGTTGATTTTTTTCTTGGCTTTTGAGGCAAAAGCTTCAAAGAAATGCGGATTTTGGTTTATTTGGAGCGATTTCTGCATGGTCATATTCGTTACACATTTTATCCTCGATCCGTCTAGGCAGAAGTTGGTGAATACTGGTCTTCTCTCACGACTCATCCATAAAGTCACGCGTTTGCGACGTTCTCTAAATGATTTTATGACCAAATGCAATAAATCATGCGGCGAACGGAGCGGTTGGGTTTGTAACAATGCAACAGACATAGATTGTTTCAGTACTCGGTGGATGCTTCCACACTTTTCGACTTCTGATCTTCATGACTTGACTTGAGGGATCCCTGCGGACCATAATGGAAGTTGTACTTCAAAGTGTTGGGTTGCAAAATGAGATGTACTTATGTAATTAGCTTGCCTTCTCCTCTTTTAATTTTTCGAGCATCTCATGCTCCATTCTTGTTTCCACTTTTACTCATCATCCAAGAAGCAACAGTTAAAATGAGGTGACGATCCTGCATCAGTAGTCCACGCGAATCCCAATAGCTGAAGAAAAACAGCAGTTTAATTTAGTCAAACCCTTCGGAAAAGTGTTGGGAAATTTGTTTAGCATTTACAAGTTTAACCTGCCCCTCTCAATAGCACTTCTACAAAAGACCACCAAATCAGCGGTATGCGCGCTACTCTTCTATCGCGTGTCGAATGCATTTTATCCATTCACTCAAACGCTTCTTTTTCAGCAGAGCCGCACGAAAAGTGTAGTAAACTTTTTTTGTTTCTGCCCGGATCAAGCATCAGAGCCAAATGATCCTATGGGTTTAAATAGGTTTTCATGAAGTTTTATAGTTTGTACATTAAAAGCAAATCTCTTACTAACGCGAGTAATTAAGTCGCTATAAATGCAACATTCAGTACCGTTTGTCTACATTGTTTTGGTCTACTGTGGTGGATTTTTGCTTCATGTTTAAAATTTCGCTGTTCTAGTGTTAGCGAATCCCCACTGTGTATCCCTTCGAGGCGTCTCGGAGGCCGCATTAAAATACGCCATTATGGGAGTAGATTTGTTTATCGGTGGCAAGTCATAGAGACCATAGACATGACATTATTGTTGATAGAGATCACCTCGTTGTCTTGTTGCCATTGGCAATTCTCATATCCACTAGCCGACATTGAGGATCACCAGACTACCTCAACGATTGGATGAACTGTAGGATGATACAAGGCTTAGTTCACTCTTTTCAGCGTTTATTAAACCCCTGTAGACTCCATTCGGTGGAATTCACGTGCACGAGGTGCGTCGCCTTTTCTCCGAAGGTCAACTGCATCCCATTATGCTGCTTCTCTGTCCGCACTCGGCCATCCAGAATCTGCCTCAGCCACGCACCCAGCCGCCCACCAGCCTAGTAGGCGCTTCGGCAATCCTCGTTGGCCAAGTGGTTCAGGGTGCGCGCATGGCTGAAGCGCATGGGCGATTCATCTCCAACGCTGTTCATGGCAGCATGACTGCCCTTGGGCCGGGAGCGCCTGATCTTGGTGTAATTTCATATTTGTTATCGTAATCTGTTGGTCCAGGGCCGTCTTTCCACAATGAACATGTCTGTATTATATGGGCCACATTTCTCTCCTCTACAGCCGCAAACAGTGACCGAGGTACTGCTGTGGCGAGCAACCCACACTCCTGAGGATCGCCTCTTTAGTGTATATAATGCCAAGGGTGCCGTGGTAGCCGGTCTCACATGTCACCAACTGCATCAGAAGGCCGAGCGACTGGGTAGCCTACTACAGGAGAAAGGGAATGTTAAACCCGGCTCCGTTGTGGCTGTCATGTTTATGCCTGGTGAGTGGTCTTGCTTCCTGTGGATGTCGGTACATTAATCGTCAAGATTACCGTGGGCACCTACACCTTTAGCTTATTCTGAGTAATTCATTCTTCCTGAATTTATCTGCACTGACATCATCGAATGGAATTTTGTGCTTGTCACGTTAACGCTATTTTGGATGGAGGGAGAAGCAGATAAGGGGGTGCGGATGACGTGGTTATGTAGTGCACCCTTAGCTCTGCCTAAAGGTCAAGGACTGGTATTTCACTTACCCTTTCTTCAACTTATTGACATGACGAAGATGTAGAATGCATGGGGTTTTATACCAATTCTCCTTCCTTCTTATCACTGTTAGACTACAACATTCCGCAATTTCTGTGCCAAATTCTATGACTCATCCTTTTTTCAACTACCTTCTTGATGCAGTGTGGATGTGCTGAAGTGGTAGTGGTCATCTTTCTGTCAACTGTAGGTTTGTGCACTCCTGATTGGATCTTTCCTTCCTTCCTTCAGGGATAGAGATGGTGTGCGCCTTCTATGCTTGCCTGTACATAGCTGCCATCCCTGTGCTGGTTCGACCGCCCCAGCAGCCACGCAGTCCAGCCATTGGTAGTGGGTCCACTCCTGCCTCCTCCACCTCGTCTACGGCCCTGGGTGCCTCTGTTAGCGGCACTGGTCTCTTTGGTGGCTCTTCAGTTGACCTCTCCGCTAGCCGTACCTCTCTTGAGCCCTCCCCACCGCCAGCGCAAATTTGCTTTGCTGACTCTGTCACAATGGCGTGGAACGTGGTTTCTTCCGCACAGGCTGTCGTTTGCCTCACTCAGTCTCCTGTAATTAAACTCATCAAGTCAAAGGTAAAGTGATCAAAACGCACTTTTTCCATCAACTTAACCAAACATTCAGTTTAAACCAGATTCATTTAACGTGCTTACTTGCCTCAAATACTTCGGTACATTTCGGAGAATGGTTGTGAAGATATTTTTTTTATATTTGCATCTATATGCCATTTAGGAGGCTGCAAGCCGTATTCCCGTATCCAGTTGGCCCCAGCTTCTTGATTACGATGAGACCTGGAGAAAGAAGTTGAGCACAGTCTACTTGCCCCACTCGCCCGATACAGAAGTCGCCTACCTGGATTTCACTCCTTCCACCACAGGTTTTTTTTATTTCCATGTCTGTTTTGGTGAAATGCAGGAAGGATACTTTTTTGTGCATCACTTCCCTTCATATTCCCTTTTAAAGGCACCCTAACGGGTGTTGAGGTGACTCACGCCGTTGCGAGCGCTCTGTGCCGGGCACAGAAGATGCAATGCGAGTTTTACCCGGCGCGCGAGTTGGTTCTCAGTCTAGAACCCTACAGCGGTCTTTCGGCCAGTCTCTGGCTCCTCACTTCCATCTACTGTGGTCATCACTCAATTCTTGTCCCGCCTCAAGTTACTGAAGTTGCCCCCGATCTCTGGCTCACTCTGTGCAGTCAGAAGAAGAGTAAGTGTCATCACATTCCTGCTCACTCTTCATAAGCACATAGAGTACTCTGAATGCATCTTTTTATTGCCATTTAATTGCTAATGCAGGAGTTACGACATGCCTTTCGATGTTGGACAGTCTATTCTTGTTTAATGCTTACCACTTTTACTCCATTCCTTATTCTTAACAGTCCTCACTATTTCTGATCCTAAATATCGATGGACTTAGTTCCTCTCATCTCGCTTTTTTGAGTGAAAATGCTGCTTACTGAACTGACCAGCAACAGCGATAAATCAGAATGAATTGCCCATTTAATCTTACCCGGCTCTGTTGCTTTTTTAATGTTTGTGTCCATACTAATGTATTAGCACAATTTCTTCAAATTGTGAAAATGCCTTTTCTATCTGAGTCTCAGAAAAAACATACCCTCCACTTAAGGGTATGGTACTCAAAAGTAGAAATTATTATCTTTGCGCCACCCATAGGCATCACTTGTATCTTTGTTTTGTTTCCGTAATCTCATTGTAAATCAGCTTGGAATGCACGATTTACCCTCCAGCTACTGACTATTGCAGTTTGGATATGTTAAAGTAATGTTCCTTCACACACCTTCAACTGTGTTTATTGGAAACAATTTGCATCTCATTAGGAACCAGTCGTCTCATGCTTGAAAGTTAAATGCAAAAAAAAAAACTAAATTTACACATATACCACATATTTGGACACCATTTTGTCCGGTATTTAGAAAACGCTATTTGTCCTGTTCTGCTCTTCCCTCCCATGTGCCATATGTTACTTCTTCCTGTTTATGTTCGCGCACGGTAAAAGGATGGCTTGACACCTTGACTCCACAGGGATCAAACCTGCATCAAATGTTAAGAAAGCCAAGGCCATCATTACTGCATACGAACTACTTTTCTTTTACATTTACTTATTTCATTTTAATTTGTTTGAATAATTAACGCCATTTCTTTACATATGCAGTCCTCTCGGTCGTCTCTGAAGTCACAAAAGGCGTATTATTCATTATTGGCTATAAGCAATAACGAACCAGCGTTATTAGCAAGATTTTTGGGGGCCACACAATGTTCACAGTTAAACTTCAAAGAAAGTATGGAGTTACTATGGATCTTCTCTTTTGCGAGTGGTTTTTTTGGTGCTTTGTCTCTCCCTTGTTGCAGTAGTGACTTCTGTGTCTCTCACACTCACTTACGAGTTAGAAGCTGTGGTTTTGTTGATGTCATGACGGCTAAACGATCCTTTTATGCAGTGTATGTGAAAGTTCGTTTGATTTACTTCATGGCGCTCAAGACCGGCCATCTATCTACAAGAGTTGTGTTTCAGGCTTAAATTTGTGGCATTTTGTAAAGTATGAAGCCTAGTCAAGCTTCGGGATGCTTATGGTATCTTCTCCTTGCCATTCACATCAGTCATCCACTGACGAAAGAAGTGGGATTGTGGAAGGTACCACTTCTTAGTGCGTCGCGTATCTTCATACGAACACCATAGATAGTTTCGAAATTGGCTTTCAAGCCTTATGGGCGGATTGCATAAAGCTCTAGGCAAAACACCGATGTCGTCATCATTAACTGGCGCAGCCATTGTATCTATTAGTGCGTTTGTCTCCTAAAAGCTGGGTGCGGATTTGGCTCCAAAATCACTCCTTGTAAACACCAGAGAGGACATTAGTATCACAATTCCATCCTACCTTTTAATGTCAACATTGGAAACACTTGTGAAATCAAAGCGTCACTTTTGGCTCAATCTTTTTTTAACTGTTTAAATATTCCCGCTCTTGGATGCTCGATTCTGCTCCAAGGGCAATGGCAGCTGAGGCGATGGGGAGTAATTTTTTGTTGGCTTTGATTCATATCCTTGTAACACTTGCTTATGTGTTCACAACTCTACTGCGTAACTACCTTTCTTTGCACTTCTTTTTCGCCTTGCTCGAAATTCATTCATTCTCTATACTCGAGTCTCCTACTTATTGTACTTAGTGTTGTTTTTTTGGCCGGACATAAAACTTCTGCCATGACCTTGCAAGTTAGTACCACTGCACCTACAACAGCCCATTTGATTACCGGTATCGGCGGTGAGGAATATAGCGGTCACATTGGTCCCACTGGGTGAGCTTACTTTCGGACCATGTCAAAAGCCTCATCCTGTCCCTTTCTGTCTGAACATGAGTATGTAGCCAAGCACTAGGTCTTCCGCTATTTAATAGGAAGTCTTTGGGCGCTGCAGTACTAGGGTAACAGCCTCCTCCTCCTCCCCCCTCCTCCTAGGAGTGTGTCCTCTCCATAAACCTTTCGCATCCCTTCCAATATGCTATTGAATGATTGTGGCTGTTTGTCGTGTGGAATCGTAACAGATTGTATTCTGTTCTCATTGTTTTTTCCCATTTTAGTTCGAGAGGCTTTCTGCTCCTACGCAACTATCAAACTGGGGACGATTTACTCGGCAAAGATGATCGCTACCATGAGGGTGGGTTGGAATTGGGAGCATATAAATAATTCACATGGCTACCAGATAGTTAGGTAAATCTAGGCAATAACATTGCTGTGTTTTTTGGGGAACTAGAGATCACTATCCACAATAGCAAATCGCATTTTTGACAGGCTCACCTTTTGACGTGGGTTTGGTTAATGTTGAAGAGTTTGTTGTGGTAAGCGAAATTGTGACTAAACTGTGCAGAACTTGTACAGCTCTGTCGGTTAAATCCATGATTTAACTTAATCTTACTTTGACACAAATAATTAAGTTATGCTCCTCTTTAAGTGTTTACCCAGTGTATTGTTTATCATTTTGATAAGCATCCTCAAGCTTAATGTGTTCAGCAATCGGACGTAGCTGATCGCCTACTCACAGACTTATAGGTAGCGTTTTTTGTCCCACAGATGAAGGAGGTATCTTTGGAGCATTTGCGCAACCTTGTCATCGTGTCAGAGGAGAGACCGCGTGTCACTTTGACTTCTCTCTTTACAAAAATGTTCGCTGCTGTCAATCTCAATCCACGGGCCGTTAGCACTTCATTTGGGTGCAGAGCTAACCTCGCCATGTGCCTCCAAGCAAGTTTATTCACTTTGTAATTGAATTCTTAGATCTGGCAATAAATAGGTTACGGATTGCATCTTAATGCCTGTTACAGTCTTAAGCTGAAGGCGAATCCGATGAGCATAGGCTTAAAAAATCGTTGGGAACGTTTTTTGCCGCCAAGATGTATTAAAAGGGCGACTTTTCTTCAACGACGAGTGCGAGGTCTTGCGAATTGCTCCCGTTGTTGTGGCAAAATAAGAGAGATGATGTAATAGATTTGCATTATAAAGGGAATGTTGAAGGCGGGACCTCAGCTGCATCAGGAAGGGACTTGTGCAAAATAGGGATGAAGGGTGAATCTTTCGTTTGGGTCTTAACAGTACCTCAGAATGTTTTCTTTTAGTCCATGTCTAATTTTGCTTCAATGTTTGTCTAGACTTAACGGGTATTCCTGTCTCCTGAGGCGTGTCCAGTCGAAGCAATAAGAATCGTTGTTTGTTTAGATCAGTCGTTAGCGTAGGATTTCGGGCTCACCAGATGTACGAAGGATGTGAGGGTCTCGTGAGCAAGAGCGGGAAACTTGCACAGTCTTGCTATCGAGCAAGCTTTTGTTGAATCTTTGTGCATCTATTGGGATACTTGTGTACTTTTTCGTTTCGCATGAAATTAGAATAGTATTGCTTCTTAAACGCCTTTTTTTGCGTCGTTCTCTTGTGCATTGCGTCTTTTTCCGTCCTGGCTTATTTCGCATAACTTTGCACACCAAAAATGACAAGGACAGATCAACTTTTTTTGCTTTTGATATCGTTGAAAGTCGAATGACCTTTTCTCTTTCAAGGGCGCTAGTTCACCGGACATCACCACGGTGTACGTGGATCGGGTTAGCCTTAGAAACGATCGTGTCAACCTGCTTGAGCGTGGGTCTCCCAACGGTCTCTGTCTAATGGAATCGGGCAAGGTAATCTCTTAGCCCTTAGTTGAATTCTTTATCTTCATTTTTTAAATCAGTACAAATTATAACCTCGATGCGACTTAGAGGGAACAAAAAACGTTGTCTCACTACTCCTCAACTGCAGTTTGTACCAGTCCTCGGTTATTTTTCGGACCGTCATGAAAAAAATCACGGTTTACTATGATGGATGTAATGCACAACAGTATGCGTTATAAATTTACCTTCATGTGATGGTACGGTCGTGAGAGTCCCTTGAAATTCAACGTATGATGTTTAATAGAGGTGCTACGCAGCATTTGGACCGACAGGATGACGTTTTTTAGCCCTTAAAGTGATCGGTTTAGTGTCATTTGATGTGCACCTGCATCGCATGGAGGGAGGAAGTTGCAGACGTCGAGGTAATGTTGCGAATGCCTCTCTTAGAAATTAGTGGATGAAGGAAAGGAAACCTCAAGGCTCAAGATTGTTGTCCACTTCATGCCCCTTAGAAAGCTTGTAGTACATAGTGAATGGCAGTCGGAGTTGCTTGTTTACTTGCCAAGGGCGACGAAAGCATGGATGGAATCTACCCGACACGACTGTTCAAAGCATAATAATCCGTCCCGAAAAGAAAATGCTAGTCTTCCATGATCTGCAAAGTCGCTTTTAAAGGTTTCGTAATGCTTACTCTTGCGGTGATTCGTGCTCTATACTTTTTAATGACCCGAATTGAATGATTGCACCTTTTACACTTGAAATCCGACGAAAGAGGGTTCTGACTTCAACCCGAATATCTAGTTTTGACGCGGTTTCTTTGTCGTTCTTACTTATGGGTGTCAGAACTTAGTGAAGCTGCAGTGCTGTAGGAAAGTAGAGTAGAGGAAAACGCGTCGAAAATGTCACATTTGACTGTCTCAAGGCGATTATTTAACGTCAATGTCATGGATAGAAGACAACTGACCTCACAATAACAATGTCATACAACGACTAATTGAATCGGAGGCGATTCAGAAATCTCTCTTTCGATGTCGGCTTGCAACAATGGCCTTATTTGTGGTTTTGTTATTATTTGTTTCGAAAGCAGATGAATTGCTATCGCGAAATGACTTTTCTAGGCAAAAAGTACATTACAAGACCACTGACAGGTGATTTGTGTTTGTTTATGCACAATCAGACGTACATCACGATGGCCAGCAGAACCTTACACGTGGATGTTCCGTTGCGAACTCAGTTGCCTCCTTTTATTACTTGCAACCGATTGTCCGGAAGAAAATTGCTGAGCGTGAAATGTCTTTTTTTTCCATCAAGATGAGTCAGCGATGAGGGGTTGATAGGTTTACAAACACCACTTCATACTTTGTAATGCGGTCGGACTGCGTACTTTCGGTGTTACATTCAACGTGTGTATAAGAGCAGGGCTGAGTAGGCTGATGCTATATCAATGGCGAATATGTTAACACCATTCCTTCTGTTTGTATGTCTTAATCCTTCAAGTGTGTAGGAATTGGTGGTTGTAGATGACAGTGATATTCAAGCGCGGTGTAAAGAATGCGCACAGGCCTTTTCCCCACAGGCGCGAGGTAAGTGAAGAATAATATGCGCAAAGTAACCGCTAATATCGTAATTGGTGCTTGTGCTAGTTTATTAATGCTTCAACTTTAAGCATTGTACATGTGCGACACTATTCCTTTGTCATCAAAGTCGAGCATCAACCAGCCTGGCGCGTGTGGAATGACTACCTTTCATGAGGCTTCGACGTGGGATCTAGTCTTGAAACTGCCGATTTGACTCTCGCTGTCACAAATGTGTCTTAGATACCCAAGCTCGATTTTTACTCCTCTGCTGAGAGACCAAAGATATTACCACTGTAAATTAAATTGTAGCAGAGTAAAATTCGATCTCATCATCTTTTCCTCGTATTCTCGTTTCAAGCTCCTGCCCGGTGTGCATGTGGCCATAGCGAATCCGGACACCCTAGGCCAATGCGCTGACTCGCATCTGGGTGAGATTTGGGTTTCCTCACCCCACAACTCTACTCGCCTTCTTGGTCCCTTTAATATTAACACCATTCCACCGACGCATGCAACTTCGACAGCTCGTACAGACTTATCAAGCACTTCCTCCTCATCTGCTGCCGCGGCTTCCACCTCTGCTGCTTATGAAAATGCACCTGTAGACCCCTTGAGGGCCCGATTTGTTGCTGGAATTACCGACCGTGTCTATGCTCGAACTGGCTTTCTGGGCTTTGTTCGGAGAACGGAATTGACTCAGTCTGATGGAGGTACAGCAACATTTAAGTTTGTAGGGTCCGGTATCCACTAGAGTCACACGCGTAACTCTTGACTCCTTATAAGTGCCGATTGTGGCGATTCTGCTGTTGAAAACGTGATGTTTAAACCGAGGAGCAGGTAGCAAGTCGGGTTGTTTCGATTAAATTTCTGCTATTTATAATTGTTATTGAGACACTGACTTTGTTTTGTGGATTTTGAACAGCTAAAGACATCTCTTATTGTCAAGATCAGTATTTTGTGAAATTCGTTGCCCACCTCCACCTTTTGCAGCCCTTCACGACGCGGTGTTCGTTGTTGGAAGTTTGGCTGAAAGCATGATGCTTCGCGGAATGCGCTTCTACCCCATGGATATTGAAAATACAGTGTTGCGATCCCACAAGAAGATCAACGAATGGTAAGCCCCTAGATTGGAATTTTAGGCACTGTAGTGTTTGTTTGTCCACACCTTACCACCTGTACCACCAGTCCCTCGTGTGTGCTTGTCAAATGTTGCTGTCAAGGGCTCCTACTGTGTGGATTGTTTGTTTCCTCTAGATCATAGTGTTAGCACTTTTGATATGAGTTATTATCTAAAGTCGTGGGATGTTTCGGTTGGTTGTGTTTATCATGACTTGAAAGTTTGCAAAGAAAAACGACCTGCGTAAAAGACTGAAATGCATTCTTTTGCTAAGTCTATGCACATGGTTTTAAGCCATTGTCTAAGGGTCAGTCTCAGCATGAAAGAATTCATCAGCATGGCTAGACCATCATACTTTGTCAACTGTGTCAAATTCACTGTCTGGCAGACGATTAATCTAGCTCAATTTTACAAGTTATGCCCCGACTCGGCTTTGAATTACGCAGACCGCCTCCAAAGAGGTGGCTACCAAGGCTGTGGAATTAGCAGATCCGTCTGCATCACTAATGTAAATCAACTACTCTGCGTTTTGAAGCTTTTACAGGCCAAATTCACACTTCTGTCGAGAATGCTGTTTTGTGTTCGCGTTCAAGCTTGCTGGTCCCCTGAATAGCGATATCTGGGTTGCACTGATAGGAAGTAACAGTAGGCGCACTTATTTCCCTTCATTCCCTTCCCTTCATTCATTTCCCTTCTTCATTCTGATCTCCATTGCCTAAATAAAGAAGGGCAAATATTATGGATTTTGTTTCTGTGTTTCTTTCTTAGCGCCGTCTTCACATGGTCCGATTTACTAGTGGTGGTGGTCGAACTTCTAGGCGAAGAATCTGAGGCTCTGGATTTGGTTCATCCAATCACAGCAAGCGTGCTGCGCGAGCATCAACTGATTGTGGGTGTGGTAGTAGTGGTGGACCGCGATACGGTACGGGTAGATTTTTATGGGGAAAAGCAGCGAATTCTGCTGCGAGACAACTTTGTCAACGATGAACTTGATCCCATCTACGTCTCCTACAACATGTGATGTGTTGATACCCTCAAGCCACATTGTACAGCAATCTCTATCTTCCTCTCCCCTCCTCCCGACTCCTCACCTGATCAGAATAAAGTGTAATTGATAGTTCTAGCAAATATGTGAATTCCTCCCCTGCCATCCTTACATTTGCTTTTGCAACAACGTGTGTGCGTGCGCTCGATGAACGTGCTTTCCATTCTTCTCTAAAACAATCAAGTTCGGGAAGAATCATCCTTAAAGCTTCTTCCTCTTTTCTCACGCTTGCTCGATTAGCATTTACGTCCACCCAACAAAAATGCGCGGCGTTTTTGAAGCTCCTGAATGGACGAAAATTCAGCCTTTTCTCATCGAAAAGTAAATCCTTTTTTATCGACGTGTCTTTTCTGGTTCCAAATGGATCGGTTCAAGGGACCAAAGTCGATTACATTGACCGATGGGAATGAGGCTAGTCGAGGAGTCCCGTTCACTCGTTCCACGTGGACTGCTTTGATTTCTCGAAGGAGTTGGCGTTATCATTGACCTCGATTGCTTGGTGAAGTGTTGCTTTATGACCGCCAATGACTTACCTTCTAAAATTATATACTTTTCCTGGCCGCATGTAGTTAAACGTGGCTGGAACGTAGGTAATGTTCGCTTTGTTAAGTCCTGGACCGAATACTGCACGAATAATCAGGTCCTCAGTTAGAGGTCTCGAGGCAAGAACTATAACTATTATAATACATAAGTAGCGCAAAACGTCCAAAATAGGGACTGAGTTATCCGTCTTGCGTCTACGAGAATTCATTGTACCACAAAACTGAAGAATCGTTTTGTCGTTTCTAGCCTCATGACCTTGCCTCATGCATTAACGTGAACGATTAAAACAAAATTAAAATTCTAATACTGAGCCACTGACAAGATCTAAAAATGCATAGAAATGGATCGAAAAATTCAGTTTGTGAAGGAGTCAACATTTATGATATGCATATAAAGAAACACAGGCAAATTACCTTTCGCATTTTGTATCGTAGAATTTTTAAAACTTTGGCAATGGCATTTTGGTGGTAAATTCTTAAATCTGGGTAGGGCCGAATACGGCTCCTTGTGATTTCTTACTAAATAAGTGAAGGCATTAAGCTTTACTGAACATGATGCACGAAAGGAGAAGCTAAATGATAAAAACTGACTTCGGAAGAGATTGTAGGGCACCAAAGACCAGCCTTAATATTCGCATAGTGAGTGCTACGCTGATCTGACTGCCCTTATGACTGGCAGTGATTTTAATGCTAAACTCGCTTTGGTTTCTTTAGCTGACCCACAAAGCAATCCAAAGCAATTCCCTTCCTCTCTTATAAGAATACACGCCTCAAATGGCGTTAAGCGGACAATTTAATATTTGTCTGGTCCTTGTATGTGTGTTCTAGACTTAGGGCCATGCTCAGGTCTAGTCACTTCTTTTTCCTTGGAATACATATATCCAGCTTTCCTTACTGCTTTCTTCCACCCGGTGGGAAGTCTTGGGACGCTACAATACCTTCTCCAGCCTAGCGAGAAGTCTTGAGGCGTTACACTACTTTTAGCGGTTGGGAAATCTTACTTTTTTTGACCACTTTTACCTTAGTATCCGCTGTTTGTGACATGTATCTATGGTGCGAAGGAATGACATACGCGCCAGGCGAGAAATCTTTTGCGCCCTTCACAAAAGAAAGGCTGAGAATGATGTCTACGTTTGGCTCCACCCTGTGCTATTAACAGCTGAAACGACATCACCTTGAATCCTACTCGTGCAGAGATACTGAAAATGGCACCACTCCAGATCCCTCTATATATGGGACTGTTTTCTCCTTTCTTTCTTGTTATCGTCGATCTCAGGCCAGTGTTACATCGTTTGGTGCTGG